TCGTAACGAAGCAATTTTGGGCCAGTGTAACACCTCCGCCTTCGTTGGAAAAGCTTAGTTGATAACGAAGCAATTGAGTAGAAAATTCAACGAAGGTTAGCTCCCAACGAAGCTTTTTTGGCCTGTGTAACAGGTAGCTTCGTTAGAAAATGCTTAGTTGGCGGTTTGCGCATGCGCGTAATAAAGAGCACATTCATCATTTTGTATTAAATGAGAGGAATCGCGAGGAAAGTACATGTTTTAAGTACGTATTATTATAATGCTACGTTTTGATTAAAATAATTACCTATTTGCGTCACTGATTGACGCTAACTCAAGCCCTAAACGCCACGTACAAATGTGATTTACCGTCTTTCGTAGCATTTCATTCGATTCCCTGCCTTTCCTCGCATTGATATGACAAAAAGTATTAAATCTAAAAAACGCAGGTTTTACCGTATATGTATACGGTAGTTTTGAAACGTTTATCTGATCTATTAGAGAATAAACCTAGAATATTTAAATGTCCCTCTTTCGGAAAACTCCGTCTCAAGTGTGGAAGGGTAAACTTTTGAAATTACATAAGATATGCTTACTAAATAGAAAGTTTTCTCGCGCCTCGAATAATTATACCTTGAATGTAATTCTAAATGTGTTAATACCATGATACTGATACAATTGCTTCCCGGGTGAATCACATCAGGGAATATAGCCGATTTGATTGATTCGAAAATGTCTCTTCAGAAATCGTATTCAACTGGCTATCGCCCCATTGCAATACATGTACTAGTCGTTCCATTATTTTATTCTTCGACGATTTTAAATTGTAATTGAATTTAAACTTCATGTTTATCAAGTATATTGAATTAATTACGTTTCAAAACTTCCGTATACAAATACGGTAAAACCTGCGGACAAGGAACGGTGGCCAAAATTGTTTCTTGTCGACAGATATTTGCCACAGAGAGGCTGCATGTTTTAGGCCAGCCCCAAACACTATTGAGGTGTCGTAAGACGATGCTTACAACTGGTATTCAAGTTTCTTCCTATTTGCGCCATTTTCGAATTCAACGGACGGCTGATGGATTAACATACTAATTTATGTCAAACTCACTCAAATATGCATGGAGTATTGGCGAGACGGGTAATATTCATATTAAAATGAATTGGTCATGAAATAGTAGTTACAGGCGGTCCTAACTTCGTCCGTTAATTTGAATTTTTGACCTACCGGTTGTTTGAAAATCAAGGATTACGAGTCTCATACTGCACCGTTTTTCTTCAAACTTGTTCCATTCAAAGCATAACAAAAATCCCTTTCTGATGGTACATTATTCTCTTAAACAGAGTCCCTACTTCCAGCGGCATTTTGGTCCCTAGCTGTAAGAAGGCCTTCTAACACCTGGGGACCAAAACGCTGCTAGAACGAGGGACTCTTTACAATAAAGTAATGCACCGACAGAAAGGCAATTTTGTTTTGCTTTTAATGGTATAGGTTTGAAGAAAACAGTGCAGTATGAGACTCGCAATCCTTGATTTTCAAGCATCTGGTAGGTCGAAAATTCAAATTAACGATCGAAGTTAGGACCGCGTGAGTTTAACCACCAGCCGAACACCGAGATATTTTAGTAATGGCTACACTATTTGAAATATAACTGAGAAGTCAATTTGGAAATTGAACGTTTTTATACGATTTTACATACTAGTCGTCTGTATAAACCCTAAATCCAATTCCTCCTAGTAATTAACATAGGCCTATTTTTATTCCATATGTTTTTCAAATGAAATGATAGAAAATGAAAACAATACTTGTAATCGTATTGACAGCTGAAATATATAAAAATCGAAATGATAGGAAAAATGTATGGACATGTGTACGGAATGATCACATTCATCTTGTTTTATTTTCCCGAGAATTTTGAACTAGTCTTTTTCTGTGCTGATTTGTTAAAATAAAGATTAAAAATTAGATTTTTGAGTTTGATCAATGGTTTATATCAAAAGAATAAAATATTAATCATAATAAGTGGGTGGTGCAGATGAGTAATGCGCACGCGCAACGAAGCATTTTAAGTGCAGTGTAACACCAAATAATTGCTTCGTTAGGGTTGGATAAAGCCAGTGTGGACACAATTTTTTCGCTAACCTTCGTTACAAAAATGCTTCGTTAGACTCAACCCAGCAGTGTAACAGGTACCAATGTCACAAATACAATATACACTCCCCTACATAAGTTTGGCAACCTTTGATCCCCCATTGAACTACGTGATAAAGTCTTTACCTTTGAATTTTTATTTACCTAACCTGCGATGAAAATACTTATACTATTGATGGAAACATAATTTGACCTTATTTCTAATACCTCCGAATTTTCTCAATTTTTTTCTCAATTACAATAAGTCGAAAATTTTTGATAAATTTGATGAATTTTTGAAAATCGACATTCCCATGTTAACGAATGGGAAATGGTAGGTTTGTCGCAATTTATATGACAGTATAACCATCCATCCGAGTCCTTGCAAAAAATACGAGTTAGGCAGGCAATTGAATTTGCTAACTTTATTTAACAAAAAATTGATATGTTTTTTCAGGTTTAACAAAGTTATAGAGCTTTAAAGTCAAAATTGTTTTTCAAAAAACCTCTCCCATTGAAATAACACAGGAGTCAAAAAATTATTTTCAAAAATGACTTTGAAGCGCTGTAACTTTAGTATTCATCAAATAAACTAAACACTTAGTGTACAAAAAGTTAGACAATTCAATTTTCTATATAAAAATATTTTTGGCTGAATTTTTTACTGAAAGGATATCCCGATTTCTGATTTGCCCCGAACCCTCCATTTCCCATTGGATTACATGGGAATTACGATTTTCATCAAATTTATCATCAATTTTTGACCTATTGTAATTGAGGAAAAAAATTAGAAAATTTGGAGGTATTAGAAATAAAGTCAAGTTACGTTTCCATCAATATTATAAGTTATTTCATCGCCGGTTAAATAAATAAAAATTCAAAGGTAAAGAGGCTTTAACACGTAGTTCAATGGGGGAGCTAAGTTTGCCAAACTTATGTAGGGGAGTGTACATACAGATCAAAGACAGACCTACATTGTATCTTTATAGTTGTCAACTGATTCACGAAAGTTCCAAATGAAATTAAAAATTAAAAATTAACTACTACTATACCGGTATTTTATTTTACAATTGTGACTTAAAATGACCTAAAACACATTCGAAGTATGTGAATTTATGTACACGGTGATTTTAGAACTCAAATTAAGGAGAAATGGGTCAAAAGAACTGTTGTTATGCAACTTTAATTCATTGAACTGCTTCGAGTTCAAAGTCGTCCGACCAATTTCATTACGTGATTGTCACGTAATGTTTTAACCATGGCGAAAAATTGCGCGAAGGGTCGACATTTTCAAAGTTGACAAGCAAAAAAAAAATTTTCACAAGAATGTTGGATCATTGGATGGGACAATTTTTTATTAATATTGGGCACCTGTGTTTTGAACTTATGAATCAAAAAGTTCACCGTTGGGCACAGGTTGACTTTACCACCGTTTAACATATTTGATAATTTATTCATTCTTTAGTAACCTTTGCCTGACTTACAATAGGCAGCTGCAGCTAAGGTATGTCAGGAAATGAGAAATTACCTGTGAGTATGTCAGAGAAACAAACATATTTTCCTAATAATTTGTGTGAATCCGGGAACGAACTGACGGAACAATTACCACATTTTACCTGAAAGTATTTCCTTCGCTGATTTCCTTATAATGACCAATCCGTAGAGCCTCGGGTTAGGATTGATTAGACCATAAATGCTTTTTTCTAAGTGCACTTGTGTATAATTATCGTTTAGCATGTTCATGCTGTGTATAATATGTAAAAGGCAGTGCAGTATCTTAGGCTTTATTACGAACTTTCGCAAATATCATACTAGGTCAAGTGACAGAGTGATGAGTGTTTGTGAGTTCTCGGAACGCTAAAAATGTCTCTCTCAAAAATTGAAAAGAAAAGTGAATTTAAATAACTCCCATGTTCACTCATAAAAACAGATTGTTTGCAAATTCAGTCCGCGTGTTTTTGTTGATGACATCTAGATTTTCCAAAAGGGAATTTGGGGTTGTCAAACTTATGATGCGTTGTTTATCATTTGCATGTCAATCCTTCCTAACAAACTCATTTTAATATTATTTTAGAAAATTCCCTTTCCTGTTTTTATTTTGTAGTGAATGTCCATAATTTGAGATTATGCTTACTTTCTTTTCACTCCAAAATAGAGTATTTTGCACATGTGAGATGAGACTTGTATCACGTCTGTACCTTGTGATTCAAATCACATATTCAAAGAATTCCACCCACTCGGTTGGGGTCCCTCCATTTTTAAATATCTACGGGGATCCTTTAATAGTCGTAATCATGCTATGTTCAAAGAATACTCTCGTTGTTCAATGATCACAGAGTGGGCCAAAAGCATGTCTTGTTATAACACCCCACAAATTAAACAAACCCATGTGCTTTATCTGACACCCAGTCACATTCAGCACAATATACAACACTGCTGTCCTCCATCTTGGTGAGTATGGCTTCATTTCATCCAAATGGATCTCTTTTCTGCTTCTTTATTTTTTTCTTTTTAACTATACTCTATCCAATACATTTAAGATGGACTGCCCCCCCCCTCTTAAAGGGCATTGTAATTTGACAGTGTTTGACAGTGATATTGAAATGAAATTTCTTGTTGGTATTTCTCTCCGTTTTTATGCACAGAGTTTTATTTAAACTTTTGTTTTCTTGCCATTAAAACAAACGGCTGCATCATTAAAAAGCCGGGGCACCAAGGTCTTGCACTCTATTTTGGCGCGGTAATCAACACAAACCACTCAGCAATACGAAATATGAAGGCGATATTGGCACAACCTGTATACTCGAAGTCATTGATGATAGCAATGGTAAAAGCGCTTTAAAACCAATTTGACTCCTTATTTCGCATTAATATGCCACAATTATATCATTACGTCTCTAACAGCATTGGGTTTGACGTAAAGCCAGCGTGTGACGGGAAACGTCCTTAAACGAACGAACAGACTATACATTTACAGTACAACAGCGACAAATTCTATAGCAATAACGTCCAAGCAACTATAGAACACATCGGAATTTAGCGCCAATTAAACGCCTACAAATAATATTTATATTTAAATATATCAGCTATTAAGATTTATTTTATCGGTGAAACACTGAGATAGAAAGAAAGAGTGAGCAATGATAGAAACATAAAATCATTTTCTATAAAACTTTGAATTGTGTAAGTAGAGGACACTTAAGTAAGGAACACTGTGCCGACTGGGCAGGAGTATACAATACGACACGACGAGGAGAGAATGTCTGTAAGTAATAATAACTTAATTCTGCACAATACATATTACATACCAAATAGATGCGAAAAAATTTTTTAAAATATTTTTTAATCTGAATTTATTTCTTTAAGATAAGGTTTAAGTTTTTATTTCCAATGTATAAAAATGCCAATAATAGGGGCGGCTCTATATGTTCTTATTTTGTTTCCTTCAAACGTGGCGACATGAAAATTATTAGGATTAAGGCTTGAGATAAGAATTAAATTACTGTGTCGATAAAAGTTGCAACTAGGTTACTATTTTTATTTATTTATCTGAAAATTCAGAATCGGCTAAAGAATATGATATTTGGAGCCTATTTCCTTTGCTTGAATTGACAACGTTTCTAGGAACTACATGTAGTTAGGTCACGGGGGCAGGGTGTAACGTTCTCTTCGTCCGGTTGATATAGGGGAGTTAGGGAGTATGTGTATTTGTTTGTTGCGGATGTCCACGTGGGCAGCCAAGATATGGAAAATTTTGCATTTACTTTTGAAGCTATGCTTAGAGATAATCCGATAAAGTAGGTTCAAATGTAGTTCTAATAAGGTAATATCACAATCCGACACAGGAAGGAGGATGGGATGTGAAAAGTCAAAATAATCTCATTTTCAATGATATTTATTCTGTCAGCAGAGAGATTTGTTGAAATTGGGGACCAGAAATCCTTGCCTAATTTTGAAATCTGCACTAATGTATTCTCAATTCATTTCCGTTTTAGATGGGTGAAAGAGTGATGGAATTGGTGCAGCGAATGATAATGGTGTTGACTGTTTTGGTTTTATTTAGTTACGCGGAAGGAGATGATAGTCGGCCAGTGAGAAGGCGCGTAGACTGCAGGTGAGATTTTGTTATTCCACTTTTTAAAAGTAATAAAGATTAACTGAAACTTCCATGGACAACATTTGAACGTTGCTGAGAACGATGTGCCGTGTCAAGGCACAGTGAGTTTAAACCTAAAGATAATGTAATATAAAATATTTTCCAATATAACATGGAGAAAGGGTACTATATTTACTTTTCACACTTAATTTGGCACTTATTTTTTATAAATCTCCTTCATTGAACTAAAATAACTCTTGACAAAGGTTGAAATCTTGTATTTTTGATATCCCTCAAAATTATTAAAATTATAATATTAAATTGGAAAATATTTAACATAACATTATCCTTAAAGGTTAAACTCACCTTTCAAATGGTATATCGAAACTTTAGGATAAGTTGCGTCATTTATTTTTCACTCTCGTTTGCCAAGCAAAATCGATTGCACATGTAGGTTTTAAGCTAAATAAAATGTCCATTTTGATTAAATTTCTTGCAAAAAACAGCATTGTTTATCAATTTGTACTTACGTACTGATGTTTTTTTAATTACTTATCACTATTTGATTATTTATTTTAGTTACGGCTAAGGTTACACATGAGTTAGGTTGGGTTACATATTTAGTTGTCCATTTAAATTCCAATCATCTAATCATTCGGCTGATTTTGGCATTGTTCTGCGAACAAAATCTACATGAGGCATTTTATGAATCTGAATCCGTTTCATGTATACGAAACACATATAACGCCCAAGGTATAACGCCTGAGCAACCAAGCCAGTGTATGACGTATTTCTGAAACTTGTTTCAAAAAAATTTCTGGAATAGCCCGACAGCGGTAAAGTCAGATACCGTTGTCACAAATGGCGGACATAACCGTCGCTTCAATTAGATTTTCATGAACTGTATGTTTAATAGAGCGACTAGATTAAATTTGTTTGGTACTGCAATCACTCAAAGTGTTTTCTACTGATTATATAGTTAAATATGTTCTACCATCGAAAAAAAGGCTTTAATTTTACCGATCGAAATATGACACAGCGGATACTGTATAAAACGATAGGTGTGGGTCAAATGTGATGTCAAATTGAGGTGACAACGGTAATATTTGAAAACAGTATATGTAAAGACAACGGTAAAGTGTCTATTTACCATTGTCATTTTCCTATGTATCAATGCAATATATCCACCATAGTCCGTTCTAACTTCTTAGCATATGCCGTTGTCTTTGTGAATTATTTCAAATTCAGATTCCGTTGTCATTGACAATATCGAAGACGCTATATTGTGGCAATTCACGACCTCATTTGATAGAAATTGGGATTTCATATAATACATCATCACACGAGCTTAACACATGCACAGCATTAACGACGATAAAGTCCCATGAAACGAGGAACAAGTGATTAAAGAGTTGAAGCGACGGTTATGTCCGCCATTTGTGACAACGGTATCTGACTTTACCGTTGTCAGGCTATTCCGGGGTGAAAAGGCCCAGAATCAATCCACGATGGCATTTATTGTAACATTTACAATTTCAATGCTCTCTCGGATAATTAAAACTCTCGGGAAAATATATATGCAGCTGAAGTTCTGTCGTCAACCAGGATCTCTGCCATTTTGTTAATTGATTAATTTTCTTAAAATTACACAAACAATTTGAGCGTTGCCTAGGGTGTAGAGATTAACGTTGGAAAACATTTATTCTACTAAGAATTGTCAATCGATCACCTGCCTTTGGAATGGGATAATGTAGAACATGAATAAAACAACCAGATTGTGAAAACAATATTTGTAAATCGTCATTCATTAGAATTTAAGAGCACGTTAAAATCGAAAATATTAATGTTTTTTTGTAATTCTTACTATTTATAAAATGCTCGAGATAAAAATGTAGAAGAAACAAAACATTGAAAAGGCTCATTTATATAGTTGGGGGAAATATTAATTTTATACCAGTAATTATTTCAGTCAAGTCAAGTAATTAAGTCAACATTCGAAAATGAAAATCTCAAAAATCGTACATCTTTGATTTCCAAAATAATTTGTGAGGTGGTTATTAAGATGATAATACACATTTTAACTTATTAATTTTGAGTACTTCTCAAACCCATTCTCAACAAAGCGTTCTCGAAATAAGTATTCGAAATGTTTGAGTTCGGGATGATAAAAGTACGTTAAGATATACACTGTACCGCTCCTTAACAAACTCCCTGGGGAACAAGATATAGAATCAAATGCATATTCTTCTTATTCACTCCCTGACACATGCCAATCAATGTTACATTTGTTAAATATCTCTGTTTTAAATAATTTTGAAAACGTTGTTCTCTACATGTGCCATTTTTTATAATTGAAAAGCAAAATTGAACATTTTGCACTTCTAAATTGATAAGTTTCTTGGAATACAACTTAACCGTAAACGATTTAAGTCATTAATAATATTTCCCTTAGTGATCCCATGCTAAATAGACAGTAACTGGGTCAATGTTTTGTGTTCAACCTTGTTTTCATGACTTTTAAACATGAGTCGACGATTATGTAGGAAATTTCATTTCCGAATGAAAGCGTGTCAACTCCTGTTTTTGCACAATATTTAGCCTTTTATAATGATAGATCACCAAAATCTGCATGTAGGTCTCAATTGGGCGATATTTTTTTTAATTTATAGATGTAAGCAATAAACTCAAACAAAAATTCAAACCATCCGCTATTTTTTTGATTACACAAGACGAAACTTCCACTCCCGGGGAGCACTTTGGTAACACTTTGAAGGAAGATTCTTGAAAAATCGTTCGAATTTTCTCAAAAGGTTTCACGTAATTTTATTGCTTTGTTTAAGCTTTGACTTATATCATACTCAAATCTGATACCATAATTATATATTAAAATGAAACATTAAACTCGCCAGGTTATATGATAAACCGTTTCTAGAATTGATGATTTGAGTTAACTGTGGATATTTATAAAAATGTAAGTCGGCATGTATTCGACAGTTAATGTACACACATGATGTATGCATAAACGCGTGACTTAAATGTCAATTCGTGACTATCACATTTGGCTTCCAAAAATTAAGTTGGAAGTTACAGTGGTAGGAGATTAACGAAAACGTCAATCACATCCAAATATCCGAACGACGTCAAGTATTAACAATACACTTTTCGTGCATCTCGAACAAGGCAAGGTTCTGTGATCCAGCAATGTGCATCCCGAAAACAAAAATTCACAAATATCAACAAATTTCTTTGCGTAGGATATTACATTCGAAATCACAACTTTCAAATTATTTGTTTTAACCTCGAATTGTAAGAAATTGAAACATGTTGTTAGTTTTTCAAACCACATATCCATATTTACCTTCTTTGACAAGGATGAATCCATTTGAAAACATGGATTTTCTTGATTATTCTTCAATACTACCCTTGAAATATAAGTATGTAGGATAAACAGTGTAAATTGACACGCATTTGTTTGCTCCATATCATGAACAAATAAATGCAGTACCATCTTGCAATATTTAAAAACAGAAAGTTCATTCTGTATGTAAACAAGAAAAAATACATTTATGGTTGGTTCATAATGAAAAATGACAAATAACATACATCTTTTGAAGTAGGGGTATACAGGGACACAGTGGAAAGTCAGAAATTTAGGTCATATCCCAAAGATTGCTTCATCAATATGTAACAGAACATCAAACTTATCATTTACACGTTTGCTGAGAGGTTTATTGAAAATAATTAACCAGAGGTTTACTTCAATTGTGGCACCATTCTTAGTAACTACTAATGAACATACGAATATCGAATGTTGACTAAGTTACTTGACTTGACCGATTTGTGGAAATGTGTATGCCCCAGACTGATTGGGAGCACTATGATCGAGAAAAGAATTATGGTTACCCAGTTTTCGTGCCCAGAATTGAAGAGGAATTCGATAACACAGAAACATTTCAAAACATAAATCTAAATGATACTTTAGCCTCTTTACCGTTATTAGAATACCTTTTCATGTAATCCGGTTGTAAATCAAGATTACAATTAGAAATTCTATCACTTGTACTGTTTGCTGTTTGAGCGGAAAGATAAATAAGAAGAAATGAAATGCGAATAACTGTTCCCTTAGCATTGCAACGATACATATCCACATATATTTTATCTCTTAAATTGTGGGATAAAATTGATAATTTAAATTAAATTGATAAGTTAAATCTTCATTGATGGACAGCTCTGTATCACAATCGTAATTTAGTAGTAGTTTTTCTTTTTGTCTTTCAGACGCTATCTATTTGCTCCTGCATGTCGAGGCATCACTGCCAAGAGATTCGATCCAAAACACTTCCACATAAAGTTTGAAAACAGCTATAAAAGAATAAGGTACGTTGTAATTTGAGGCACAGAACATAATTGCACTGCCCTGCGAACCGAGTGTAAATATGTTCCCCGTGTGTGTTATCTTGAGCATTCCCTTTTGCCCGTTGCATGCATCATGTGCATGTCGGACTATAGCTTTTGGTGATTTGTGGTCGATTTGTTTAATTAAAGATACCCAGAATCCATGAATTGATCATGACTTCCTCGAAGATGGTCTTCATATTTTATCTGTTATGTTTTTCTAGTGGGAGTGAAGAGGAGGATATCAATGGCGTCGGATACCTAACAAACGATGAACCACGACAACAGAACGAATACGAGGATGTTCCTGAGGGCGACACTGAAACACAGCTCGGGGGAGAGGGGGAATCTCAATCTCCATATGCCAAGATAACTGCTACACAAGCAAGAAATACACTGAAACGATTCATTCAATTGGTGGCATATGCTAATAGAATTTTACACTGAACAATAAGAAATACAAACGTCACGAATGAATCCGAGTGACTTTGATATGTAAATCGGTAATTTCGATTTTATTAACTTAATAATGGATCATATACAGGACTATTTCCCAAAAATTGCCCTTCCTATTTCTTCCGATATCAAAATTAATTAAGTGCATAGAAATATATATATGATAAGAAATAGCCTTTAATACATAGAATAAAAGCTAAAATCTACGTTTTACCAACCAAAACCAGTTACCTTATAAGATTTATGTCTACGGAGTTAAGAGATCTAATCGGTTATTGTATCTAACCATTATGCCAAAATAAATGTGGGTCACAGTAAAAGTAGTATGTTGTTTTTTCTATCTCTGATTCTAAAGACACATTTCTGTATGTTGTTTAACAGTTTGCGACAAGCATTTCTTTGGAATTGGACGTCTGATGAAGCTGATACAAGGCGTATATATTTCAACTTGGATGTCCACGGGATTGAAATATTGTTGAGCAAATAAGATGATATCAGGAATGGTGGAACATCACTTTGGACACCGTATTTGGACTTTGTGTTGACAAGTTAAAAAGAACTTTCAATCCTGATATCAAGAATGTCCAAAAAGCTTAAGGAGAAAATATATTCTTGAAGAAGTCATGTTTTGGCACCTAGGCATTTTGGTTATATAACCTCCTCATTAGCTAGGTTTGGAATACGTTTTAACACACAGAAAGAAATGGGTGGTTAATGGAATACATCTCTTTGTAATCGCAGCCTATGGAGTGTTTTAATTTGCACCTCTAAATGAGTAATTCGTCTACATTTTATAACATTCTAACAGATAAAATTCTTACACCTAGCTCTTCCAATGAAATTTAGTGTCCGCACTTTTGAGGTTATTATTATGATATTGTCAGCATCATTAAATACAAATTCAGAGCGTAGTACGGTTCTGCTATTTAGTTTTTCGATTCCTTCAGGTCAGGAAGTCAGTCAGGAAGTTAAGATGACGCTTTGGATTGTGAGTCAAGGAGTCCAAAATTTATATTGCTATTTAAATTGATAATTATCCAGGGTTCAACACCATAGATAATCCATTTGTTTTTTATAGTAATACACGATAGTCTTGCATAAAAATCTCAGCCCCCAGCTCTCACTTCTCTAGCCAATTACACAGGGACGCAAAACGAAAAGGAAGAATATAAAAGTCAATGTGGGAAATGCCCAATGGATGTAAATGTAGGCAATCAGAAACTAAGATGTGGAAATAAGAAAATGGAGCCACTCGAAAAATTATATCAGCTACTTCACTGGTTACGGCCGTCACCTTCGCTTGATACTGTGTACAAGTGTAATCGAACCCCGGACTTTCATAGTCACGTCTCGATAAGCTGTATTTCAAATATCAATTTGAAATATACTTTGCATTTGCGTAACTTTGTCTTACACTCTTCCCAAGCATGTACGACAAATCATAGCATGACTTCGTAGAATGAGTACAATATTGATATGCGAGATGAAGAGGCTGCAGGCTGCGAACACAGTTGGAAAAGGAAAGAAAGTTACATAAACCTTTCCGGTATCTAAGCGATCTATGTAATTGAAAATGACCACCGCACATCATTTAATTGCCCAATCAGCTAGCAATGATATAAAGAATGATATAATGAAACTGAAAACCTTGGAGCTAAACTGGGAAGATTGCTGATGTGTCCTGATCTATTGCAGCTATTTACTGTGATAGCTTGACTAGAAGTCAATTGCTTGTATGCACATGTTAGGGATATCCGTTTCTTTTTCGTTTTAGCAGTAGTGACAGCCGCTGATCCAAGATTTTGTGTTAGGGGGGTGCTTGATAATGGTTGTGAGCGAAGCGAATTGTGACTAGTGCGCGCAACGAACGAGTTGGAGTGTGTCGAAAATTGAACATTATTTGGTGCATTTTGGGCAATTTCAGAACATATTATAGGAATATCCTATGGTTTTGAAAAAATATCATTTATATCCATGAGTGGATATTGATATCTTCATGAGTGAGCGCAGCGAATGAGTGAAGATATTTGTATCCATGAGTGGATATATTGGATATTTTTGAGAAACCATAGGATTGTCCGTTTATCCCATGGGAAATCATCATCAGCGAAAAAATTTGAAAAATATAATTTGAGAAAAAATTTGAAAAAATAATTGAAAAAATTGTGAAAAAATGTTGAATTTTTAATTTTGATTTAAAAAAAAAAAATTTTTGAAAATAATTAAAGAATGAAAAAAGAATTTTTTTTTGAAAAAATTCAAAACCATCGAATATCACTTTTCAAACCATCGAATATCACTTTTCAAACCATCGAATATCACTTTTTAAGACGTGATATTCGATAGTTTAAAAGTGATATTCGATGGTTTGTGAATTTTTTGCTAAAATATGATATCTTGATCCATATATCAAATATATCTTCATGTGATATTCGATCTATATCCTTGCAACCATGGGATAAATAAGGATATTTCATGTTTCAAAGAACTGAAATATCTTATTTCACAGGATAAGTTGGGAATTCAAAACTTGGGCGCCCTTGGCGTCCCCAATGTTTTTTAAAATATACATTCCAATTTCCAATAATTTCGATATTGTAATATCAGGCTAAGTCGGATGATGTGTTTTGAATACTTTTGCGTATTATATTCTTATGTATACATGACTATTTAGCCCTAAACATTCGGCTAGGGAACATTGCAAAAGAGGGCCATTGGACCACTCTTACTTAGATCTGGAAATGTGCAACACGTCATGGTAGCCATACTAAATATCTCGCGAAACTCGGATTATGGGGACCACATATATGTGTGGATTTCATATGAACTTATATTACAGGTGCGTTGACACGAGTAATCTGCTAGCATCATTTACAATAATGTTGCAATTTTAAAAGTACGAGTCTGGTGGTCCGCAGATCATAGCACTGATGTTTGGCAAACGGCTGAATTCTTCATATTGGTTGAGATTGAGGGCTCTGATGACTTTCTCTCACTGTGAGTTGTGGTGAGCGCACTCCTGAATAATATGTGTAATAGTGTCATCGTGTAACATTCAACATTTTCCACAGAGAATTGCGATGAGTAGTTCAAGTAGGTTGAAATTGACCTAGAAATACTGACCTTTTTACCAGCTTCTGCGAATAATGAAAAATTTGATTGAATATGAAATTATTAATGTTTACTTGTCCTGAATTTTAAGGAACCTAGAAGATGATTTATATAATGAGACCTCTAATTTGATGACCTTACCCAAAAATTATAACAGTTACCGGGACTACAGAGTACTAAACGCAATCATAATGACCAAATCAAAATGCTTCAAAATTCTTATACATGTGATAAAATCGTAAAGTTCACGTCACACGTTTCAGCTTCACGCCGGAATAGCCTGACTACGGTAAAGTCAAATACCGTTGTCATGCACAGAATTAGCGACGATAAAATACCATGAAATGAGGACCAAGTGATTAAACAGTTGAAGCGACGGTTATGTCCGCCATTTATGACAACGGTATCTGACTTTACCGTTGTCAGGCTATTCTGGGGTGAGCTTATGTGATACAGGAAATATTCCACTCGGGTATCAATGTCTCACTAGTACTCAAGCTTCGCTTTCGTGTATGATACAGTGTTACCTTTTGTAGAATATTTCCTGTATCACATGCTGAAACGTGTGATAACTGATAACCTAGCTCTTCCCCCCTCCCTCTTCCGAATTCATCTATTTTGAATGAGTATTAAAATGCGAAAACAATATGAAATTAATCTGTTTCCAAATGGTAATCTATCTTTTAAAACAACATTTTGTCCGAGGGTTTTAACCAAACCTGTATTAGATAATGAAGTATATCCTAAAAGAAGAAAGAATCTGCGGGAAATTTGCTTGTACATGCTTTGAAAAGTTGTTGACTTTTCCGCATCATTTAGTTCCAAGTAGAATACCCCAATGATTTTAGAGTGCCGCGTTTATCAAATATATTGCTCTTCTGTAATAGCAAAAAGACATGTTCTTTTGGCTTGATGTGATTTTTGCCTTTATATCCTATATAAATTAATTTAGCTTTGATGCATGAAAACAATAAAAAGATAACAATAAGACAATTTATAATCCATTTTAAAACATAATTACTCTAAAAAGCAAACGGCTAGGAAACGTTATTCACAAATGAATAACTATGAGCCATTTCCATGTTACGTAATACAACAATTCCCTTATAGTTATTATGGCATTACCATATCGTATATCGTATATGCATATATGGTTTATATAATGTACATGTCACTCCAAACTATCCTCATGGGACACAACTGAATCGCTTGCAAGCTTTATTTCATAATTTGGATCATGTTCTGTGAAAAAATATATATCCATTAGGATGATATCATTTACATTATCTCCTCTGTAACTTCGGTCAGATCTTCTCGTAATAAACCATGCAACCCCTTCTTGTGAATAGCTTCTATTTACTCAAACGAGTAGCAGCTATCGGCCACCACAACAAAAGCAATCAATGGTGAAGATGTGTGTCGAGTGTTCAAAAATCAAATATAATTACTATTATAAAAAACCTGATTGTAAGTCCGGATGTGATCTGGTTAAAAAACTAAAAAAGATTATTATGATTATTAAAATAAAAAAGACTTGTCGGCTTTTTATTTTTCAAATGTTCAAATTTCCCGCCATTTTCAAATAAAAGTTGAAATTTTTAATCATCAAATATTTCAATAAACAATGTAAAACACATTATCTTTTTAACGCAATTGCAAAGATTGATGTTTTGTTTATTCATTATCATACTAAAACCTGCCTCATTTAAAATAACTGAAATTCAAAATAAACCAATGTTGATTGTCTAAATATGTTGAAAAGAAGAATATATTACTGCACCAATTGTTTCTATATGAGAACTAAAATTTTGAATTACTTTCACACATGGGTGAGTTCATTTTTCGCTTATTTATCAACCAATTTTCTTTCGACAAAAAATAAATAATTTGATGATTTTCGAACAAAAAATCCTCCATAAATCACTTTGTGCAATTTAAAATGTTATATAGGGCCTTTATGCCCGTGGGAGCTAATTCATGATTAATAATTAAATGTTATGATATATCTCTAATATCTGTTCGATTATCATCTCACCTTTATACGAGGCGTGAAATATTACTTTATGTGTCATTACTTCCACTCTGGTTACCATAGACACCCTAAGGTAGAATCTCAGGTCGTTGTCCACTTCCTTATTAGCTGATAAAAAACTGAAGAGTCAACTCTAAATGACAATATAATGATAATAGTTTGTGACTGATGTTGATGATTTGGACCTTGGCAAGCAATGGCTGCAACTGTAATTTCATCATCATCCACTTATAACCTCTTATCATCGCCTTTACTATAAATCTTTTTAAGATTAGTTTGAGGAATATGTTGTTTTTTGTTATGGAAAATAGTTCAGCGAAATTATGGTATGCGATTGTTCCAGATTTTCAAATGCATCACAAATAGTCTACATCTTAACATGAATTTCTATATACAGAAACAATGTATGTCAATCTTAAGTCTTCTATATACCCCCCCCCCCCCCCCAACTCACAATGAATTACCCAAATAAAATGCGAGGACACACAAATTCAAAGCTGTCATTACGTCAAGGAAAGGGCGAAAAAGAATAACATTGATAATATTAAATGTGCATTCAATGCATTCGAGGATTTACGCGTTTTAAGGCAGAATCAGATATATGCAAACACATGCATGTAAAATCTCATCACCCGCCATTTTAGTTACAGACGCCGAAAGCCAACCACCGACCACCGTCTACAGAAAAGTTAGAGATGTCAACACTTCTAGCGGTGTCATAAAAACGATAACCTAAATATAATAGCTAGAATAAATTGTAAGTTATGTTTCTAAAGGGACATTTTCATACATTAAGAGGCAACTAAAAGACATTTGGGTTGAATTATAGACACAAAGATGGCGTATTAGATGTATGTCTGTTTATATATAAGATTAAAGGACATTGTCTTCAATTACTTCACATTTATGCATGCACCTGATATATGCAATGATATTTAAAAGGCATTCATGAGCAAATTTTTTGAAGCTCAATGTTTACATAAAATATGGTTTGTATTGATGTTCACAATTGATATTGTGAATAGTGGGTAACTATGATTTTTCGATTTTGTTTTATTTGGGATTACAAATAAGGAGTCCCTTGAATAAGTGTTCACAGAAAAGTTACTAATCGTAACAGAAGTAGGGTCACATTTCTAGGGCTATCAGAAAGGTCAATTCAATACATGGGTTTTGTATTGTAACTAACTCTGTCAGTATTGTCACTCATTTGGGGTCAAGGTCACATTTATTGGGTTACCTGGAAGGTCAATACAAGGGATTTGCAATGTGAGGCACCCTGAAGCACTGTCACTCTTTAAGGGTCAATGTCACATTTAAAAGGCTACATGAAAGGTCAAGGTCAAACACCAAAAAGCATTTTCAGTAATTTTAATTAGGGGCAGTACTTTTATTTGAACGTCTGGGATACCTGGAGGTCAGTGTTGGACTTTGTTTTGCAAAGTACCATTAAACACCTGAACTTAACACACTTGTCACAAAGTGAAAACTTTGTGGGCTCCCATTCAACTCATTATAATGTTTAACTTAATAAAATAACAAACATTTTATATGTGAAGACCAAATTTTATTTGAGACTAACTACATCTATATTATGCAGTACATCGATATTTATAATAAAAACTAAATATAAAACTAAAAACTCAATGACTATAGACAAGTTTAACTGAATATCAGATCTTGTTCTATTTAGAGTTGCATACCGTCTTAATCTGATTCTAAAATACCCCGATTTTCAACCTTCTTTTCAGTAAATGCCATTGATTGTCAACAGCTAACCCATGGTTAACACAATTTCTATGAGTTACATAAACTTGGAACTTCTCATAATATTGTTGACTAGGTTTGTATCTTTTCAAGCTCTAATATTTTCAGAAAGTATGTTCCTATCCTGGCCCATAATAGTCTAATTTGAAATTTAATTTAATTCAAATTCTATGATTTTGTTTTGGGGTGGAGGGGATTATTTAGAGACTGGGCTTTTGGGATATGGAATTTGAATATATAATACATGTAGATCTTCAATCAAAATAATAATAATACTGATGATATCTTTCCAAATTGTTGTTCCAACTTAATTTGTGCCAAGGTTACAATATTTTGAAACTACTTCGAATAACTCATGATGAAAAATGAATTAATTCAATTAAATTAAGACACACAGAAACAATCTGATTTTAAAATTTTTGAATAATGCAATATCTTATCAAAAATAAACATTAAAGGCAGAATCAGATCTATAGGAGTGATAAAATTGCAAGAAACATGAACATTTTACCTACTAATATATTCCTTACAACAGTACAATCTCAAATATAATTTCTCCCAAAAGATCCACAATATGTAATCAGTTGATAAAGTTGTTTAAGTTTCAAAGTGCCAAATAGGGGAAAATGTTTTAATTCTCCCAAATAATAAATATGGTAACCACATTTATAGAAAATTATTAATACATTATTGCAAAAATCTTTAGTTTTCCTTAAATAAAGTATGCACTTTGGGGACTTTTAGAAAACAGACATGATGAGGAATGATATGAGCCCAAAATTAAAAAAAAATTTGTAAAGAGTACTCAATGCGATCTGATACTACCTTTAAATGCCAAATACATCAATTGAATGGATAATATATAATGTGTTTCTACAATTGTGCCAAGTTTGTTGCTTTCCTGAAAAAGACGAATAAAAAAGGACATAGGAGTCAATGACTCAGCAAATAGGGAATTGGGACTTGGGTAAATCTAGAATGAAGAGGGATTGAAATAGAGGTCTGCAATTTGAACCCAATTGTGATGATATACAGCCTCTCTAGAACACAGTTTACTCCTTAGTTAAGTTAAAAATCTTTTACAAATAAATACAGATTTAAAAATGCATTTCTTGTGGTAATGAATAGAGGGGTCAACTCGCATAAAGAAAATGTAAGATTACAACAAAGATTGATTGAATAAAGATTATACCTTAAAAGGGTATTATATAACAGGGTTAACGTACACCTTCTCCAAAAATTTGGCTGGAAGTTGTGTAGCATATACACAGGCTTCACATGAGGTTCAAAATAAGAAGGGACTTCCTGTTGCAAAAGTTTTGGAGGGAGTGTATAAATAAGGAAATACTTCGTAAACTAGCATTCAGTAACATTTTAGCAACACAGAAATATGGAATGTTTTAATCAATATAGTATATATAATACAAATATCAAAATTTACCTTTTAAGGTCATTTTACGTCTCAGAAAGGCGAAATCACATAATTAATAGACCTTTAACATACAGACATACAGGGGCACTAAAAGAGAGAATCAGAGATAGCATCAAAATCCTATAAAGTCATACCTCATTGAAGAAATTCAAAATTCAAATTTCTACATGTAAATTTTCTATAAATATAATTATCCATACATATTATTTTGAAGAATTTCCAACAGAACAACTATCTAAACCTCGACTAAACATTTGATGAATCACTTTTGAGGTAGCAATATTTAGGATAGTGAAGACTACTACAACAGATTGATTGGTTGATTTTTAATGTAACTAGTCTTACAGATTAGTCCCTCCCTTATCTCTGATTTTTGTTTTACCCCCAAAGTAGGCCCATGTTTTTACTTCTCTCAACATTATTCACATATACATATATTTAAATATTCTAAAGCATTTATAGACCGATAGTACTATCTTGAAGCATTTCGACGATATTTACCACTTGGGCTTTACATTCCATGCCCTTTTGTTTAACCCCAAAAGAATAAATACTGTGGATATGTACAGAGAATAGTATAGTTTTACATAATATATAATGTTATACAATTTATACACACAAAGCAATATTAGTATCCTTTTGTCCCTCATTTCCCTGTTTACTTCTCAAATACACTTCAGTTTGGGGACCTAAGGTTTCAAGCATACAAAGCTTTCGTATTCAGACCTTAAACTTTGAGAAGTAGTACAAAACTCACTTTGTACATCAAGCAATATTTATGATTTCACAAATTTTTTTTTACTTTAACAAAAAGTAGCTCCTCAGTTATATAAGCAGATTCTCCACAGAGTACCTTTTTCAACAGATGACTCAGAGTGGGCCACTAAAGTAGCAGATTCTACAGAATCAGGGTAGCTCATTAAAGCAACAGATTCTACAGGGTGAGGCACTAGATTTGTAATACATACTACAATAATCAGATCAAATATCATCTAGTGCTTTCTCCAATGATATGGAGGGATTAACTTTGAAAGCGCTTACATAGCAAATATACTCCTTGTGTTGCATCAAAAAGCGTTTTAAATATCACATTTATATAAAGCACACATTGGCATCTAAATATTTGAATATCCATATAATAAATACATATCAAACATCCTTCAGGTTGGTCATGACCAATGAGTATTCTGGCTAGTTATAGCTACAGGCTTACAGAGTGATATCATGCACAAACGGGTTCTTATATCATTCTACTGTACCTACCTTAATGTCAACATAATACCATCAAACATTAAGGTGGGACACTTTTTGGACCTGATTGCATATGACATCAGATTTGTATGTACCAAATTGGTAAATCTATCATTCTTCTATCTAATTAACCAGATTACTCATTCTGATAAACCAACCTTAAGTTAAAAATATACAATATAGGTTGTCTTTGGAATGTAGTTCTCCTTAACACAATCTTCCGAAATGTTACTTTGTATAAAGGGGATGGGGTACTATTGTACTATTTGGTTGGAATACCAAAATACTTTCATGAAAATACATTTGTATCTCAACCCCTTAGGAAAAGTCTAGTACTAGATTTTGCGGAATTATTTTTTGAACTAATTGATCAATTTTAATATGCCTTGATAATGTTTCAGAGAAATTAAAACCTTCAACTATTGCATTATATATACAAGGCAACAACATGCAAAATGTCACCACCTGCCATTTGTTACAAATGTCAAACAATGACCACCAAACGCCTAACAAAGAGCCCCTCCCCGATGCCAAACACTGAAACTGTCTGAAAAATAGTTGGAGACTATGACAGTAAGTCACCATTTGTGGTGGTGACATAATAAGCCAATGGCAAGACTTCATAATATCAGGGTTCACAGGTTTCACAATAAATATCCTCCTATCAATAGGATTTCCCACAAGTATAAATGCATACATAAATTACTTCTTATGGTTTGGATCAATAAATCAACACCTGTCAAAAAACATTAAGCAAGTCAAACTTGACCCATTAATCTTCCTGATTGTATACATTCATTGCTTAAAGCTTCTGGCAGAGATTGATGTTTTGGCCTGTCCTCTCACACCAGTCTGATCTTCAGTTTTCAATTTCTCAAATTTGATTTAGCATGCATTGCAAAGAAGCCTGCATGTGGAGAATTCAGCATTCTATTTTCATATAAAAATTCAATTCATTTGGATATACAATGCTTAATCCCTGGACTGATTATAGGCCACAGTACCTACATGGAAAATGATGACTTATTCAAGAAATTTTAAATTCACAAGTGATAATTAGCAGAACAGCATGGTCGCAAAATAACTTTGTTTCACAGTATCACAAACAATGCATTAATTATATATATAGACTTTTGGTCTTTCGTAAAATATGGTAAAATGATTTTACAGGCCAGGATGTAGATGTGTTATATACTGGTACAACCTGTTCAATAAGACTCATTAGATGACAGTAGAAACAATCTTGACATATTTGAATGCTACATGAAAATTTTCAAAATGTGGTTTCAAAAACTCTGAATGTATATAACTACTGGTGTCTAGGTAAATAACAGAGCTATTACACTATACAGATTTTGCAGTATGCCATTCACTTGGCAGATTTAAATGAAACACATTCCTTTAAAATACTTGCAAATATTATACATTTCAACTTGTCACCAATATATGGTGTTCATGTGCATTACCAATTTAGCCACCTTATTTTGCGACCCATTTCTTAAAAATACTAGATATTTCCCTTCCTCCATAATATATGCATTATTTCTTCTGGGCAAGCTCTCTTAATAAAATATTTCTAATAAAAAATGAACCATGGTTATATTGTATATGAGGTCGTTGAATTACAAAAATCACTGTATTTTTCAGAAACAGGCCTCTAATGGCAAATGAATATAGAAGTTTGAATAAATATCTCACCATCTTGGAGTCAAGATTAATCCCATGACTGAGGATTACATAACAGTACCCTGGGATGTATGGAACCTTACCCCTCTCCCCCCTCAGCACCTTATATGGGGCCTGTTGGGTGTGTATCATGATCTAAAATCAATCGGTTTTTCCCAGAGGAAAATTGCACATCTGGTCGATTGATGTCGTACAATCCTGATGCATCCGCAGAACCCCTACCTGGGGGTCCATCCACGCTACGATAATCCATATCCATATATGTGGTGAAACTCACTGCTTCTTGGTCTTCGCGGAGCTTGATTGACCAGAATTGATTGTTCTGTCCACGACAGTGACGGCATTTTTTGTAACCAACTACAGCAAGAATTATTACTAGCGCAATTCCCGCTACAATAGCTGCACCAATAAGGACAACATTCTGGTGTGGTGGATGCGGGATCATGTGTCGAGGGTCTGAAGTTTAACAACAAAACAAAAATTTACTTAAGATTAATCATCTATACACAATATTATCATAGAGCTCTAAGAAATAGGACCCATACTGTTAAATGTGACGATGCTGGTAAAGTAATATTTTATCAGTCTTGCAGTCTAAAGTCTTGCAGGTTAGGCTAGGGCAATATTTAAGGTAATATACTCCTGTTTTCTCTAAATGCTATCTTTCTCCCTTTATTAAATTACTTATTTCTTACTCTACCCTTTACATTTTCATGCTAAATTTGACATTTTTTGAGGAGCTTCTTTTGTAATACATTATATTGATATAAATAAATAAATACGACTTCAAACTGTTGATTAAAGCTTACCAGGATGGGTACAGTTCTTGGCAACGATAGGATCTCCAAGAAATCCTGGCAGGCATTTTTCACAGTTGTCTCCTGTTGTATTAAACGCACAGTGTGTGCATCTCCCTGTGTGGAAAAAAAATGTAAAATACAATAAAGTAAAATGTATCAAGTTCTCTGAAAGGTGAACACTTAACAGGTCCCATTTTTATTTTTCTCATTGACCTTTATTTTAATGGAATTGTGGAGTGTTCATCTAATTAGATTTACAATTAGTGGTAAAACATTCAGTGTGGGTCATATCCACTTGACAGTAGCCACAGGCGGATGTAAATATCTAGAGTTGAGTGTAAAATCGAAGTGCCTTGCCACATTATCGAACATGAAAAACATGAAATTCGCAATTGTTGAATATTGAAGAACAAAGTCAATTTAAAGTACTCTCATAAACATATAACTTTCTTTTTAAAGATTTTTATTCACAAGAAAACTGTGAGTATAAATAATATATCATCAGTGGCAACACTGTGGCAAGTGTTAAAATCTCAGACCTGCTTTATCACAATATAAATGTTCCGTCTTGTCCTCATTCCCGTTGCAATTACATGGTCGGCACCCTTGTTCGCCATAGTGGTTTCCGTAGGATGGTCTTGGATAATAGTTGTCAGCGCACTTCTGACAAAACTGCCCCATTGACCCCTCTTTACAGGGGTCACAATGAACTTCACCAGTTCCCTCTGAAAATTGTAAATAAATGATTTGAATTGCAATGCAAGGGTCGCAGTGAACATCAAGTTTTACCTGAAAATTGTAATTCATAAAAATAAATGATTTTAATTGAATTGAAAACACAAGAGATTTCCACAAAACAGAACAGCCTCTTAGCTGGGGATCACATTCCCAATCAAGGATGACTGATTAGCATAATTTACTCATAATCTTTAATGTATTCCTTATGTCAGGAAACAACAAAAGAAGGACATAAAAATGACATAAACCTATTTCTTAGCTTGTAATCATATAAATTCATAATATGCATATGAACTACACTTAAATAAATACAAGCAAAAACCTTTACCTTTAAGACGACACAACCCATATGATGTCACATTGTTACATCTGTAATGGCACTTCTTACATGCATCCTTATCTAAATAGTAGCCATGGTAACATCCGCGACATGTTCTGTGTTCCTCACCAGTGTCATACATGTTCTTTCCTCCAAAGTTTGGTTTACAGGTACATTGCCCAGTGTGGTTGTCACACTGTTGATCCACAGAACCGATTGGGTCACACCCACATGCTAAAATAAAACATGAGTCAGTGATTGGATTGTAATTGACAACAACCATGTTTGGCCAGAAATACCTTTTTTGGTACATACTTTAACATATCAACGCTTGAAGAGGAGTACTGTATTCTTTGTAAAAGCCTTACATATAAATAAATGTTGTGATACAAATTATGTAGACTTCCACTTGACAAGAATCCAACCCAGAATTTTCAAATTAACAATTTATCAATTCATTAATTTAAAAATGTCCTTTAAGAACTTAAGAATGTGTTTTCACTTACGCATATCTGGACCATATCCCAAAGTCTTCACCACAACATTTCCAGAATCTGTTAGGTTTGACACTGTTGTGTTGCCTATTTCTGTGGTGACATTCACCCAAAGTTTGATGATATAATTAGTTCCAGGTTGTAGGTCTGTGACATTAACTGTTGTTTCATTGTGGGGTACATCCACAAACATATGTTTGGTATCTGCAAAATAAAAACGAGCCTTCTTAATTCAAATCAGCTCTGAGGTAACGCCAAGCATTACTGAACCAGAAATTCTTTTAAAAACATGCAGTTTTCACCATTTTGAACACTTTTAAAGTGACTTTGGTCCAAAATAAGTCTTCATCCAAAAATGAAGTACATGTTATTACAACATGAATAGCTAAGATAGGTGGATGGATTTTGTTTTGTAGTGATAAAAATCAACTATCAAAAAGTCTTTGGGATAATATTCTATATGCTTTATTTGTCTTTAATTTGGCGAGTGTTTTAAATTTGCGAATTTTGGCAAATTAAAAAAATTGCCAAAATCCCCTGGAATTTGACAAGTTCTTCGTTTGGTGCATTTCCGGTTATAAGAAAGATCTACCAAGATTGCCGAGCTGTTTAAATTGATAGAAACAACGGGAACTATTGAAGAAATGTATGTAAACAGGAGGAAATACTGCAAAAAATGTTCATCAACAATACAAACTCGAATTAGATAAGACAGGAGAACACAGAGACACGTGTTCTCTACACTATAATGCAAACACTGAAGTTTTATCTCACCGTTTTGTTGATGTATTGGTTGATATATTTCTAACTGAAAGCTGGTAAAGTTATCATCCTGAGGCGCTGTCCAATTGACTGTAATATAAGTCTCTTGTGAAATTGTTCCAAGATTATGTGCATGGTGTTGTGTATCTATAGCGCAGGCAACTAATACTGAAATATAAAATATGGTTATTTTTACATGATAGAAGATATATAATCAATTATATTATTCATTTCGTTGTGGTCTAATATGTTTGAAATTAATAGCATTTTGGGCAGGTTATTCTCATAATTAAAGCAAATGGTTGAGTTCTTTCAGCACATATTGTCATGTATTTTGGGAACTTGAGACAGAAAAGCTGAGATTTTAGTGGTACAAAAAGCAAGTACAGTCTTCTGGTTCTAGGTCTATGGACCACAAAGTCTACTACCTTTTCATGGCCTGACAGGTTTGTTAAAATTAAAAAAAGACTTAGCTAAAAGATGAAGTTAGTTAATATTCATGAATACCAGCACATAGACTGATGCGTCAACATTTGAGCATAAGCACAATATCCAACAGATAAAAAATTGAGCATAAAACAAACCCGCTAAGAAGTTTTGATATGCAATATTACCAAACACATGACGTGAAAATAGAATTTTGGTTCGCTTTATTTTGAGCACACATTTGTCACTTTAAACTATACTTTCACATTTACAAGGCAATATGATCCTAAAAGAAGTATTTTTTATTTATGCATGCGCAAAAAATAAATCAGAAAAAACGAATGAAAAATGGAAAATTGAAAAATGAGTTACATTTATTTCTATCGGATAATGTGCTTATGCTTTATCATTGCCACAATAAAGCTGATAGAGTAACATTCATGAATCTTCGTTCAGTGGATAAGCTGCGTGTGCACGAACGTCGCACATATCTGATTTCCGCTATGAATTTTGCGTTTGATCTTGTAGGAATTTATCCATCATTTGCAGGTAGGAAGCCTTGGATTCATTTATTGTGCTCCTTAAAGTTAACGGGGATTATTTTTCGACCGTTTGGGAGAGTTTGAGACATAACGCTTAGAATTTAGCTCATTGTGACAACTTTTGATGGTTGAGGTTTATTTTTGGAGTTCACTATAGTAGAGAGCGAGTAAGTATTTGGTTACATCAACAAGTCTATTAGATAACAAATTCTTAAACAAAATGTGTGGGACAAAATGAATTTTGTTACATGAAGTGGGAGTCATCTGGATCCCACAAAATGTTGAGACAGAGAGGGTGTGGCACATCAACAAAACAATAAAAAAGAAAATAATAGCACTGTCAAATAAAATTTGTCCACGTTTCATATTCTCATTTAAGCAAACATCTTTTAGAAATTAAATATATTAATCTCATTTTATAACTCGTATCTGATTCATCGCCATGCATCATAAATTTAAATAAAAATAAAATTGGCTTGCATTTTTTCAAAATTACATACCTAATTGAGCGAGTATCCCAAAGAATATCACAGTTTTTTGAAATTCAAATAAATTTTTCATATCCATATTTATATTTCACAACATAATTTACTTAAAATCTGTAACAGATAAGCCAAAACTGTGGCTTTATTTCAACAAAAATATGTCGATGAAAATCGAAAATTTTCTTTTCTCCTTTTTGAAGATCTTTCACTTTGCATCATAAAAGCGAACATACCAATTAGCAAAGGAGCGTGAATGCGCCAGAAAAACGAACGGACATTTATTACATTATCCAGAGCTACAAATAGTCAAATACTAGCTGACAACAACGGTATCTAGAACAGAATGCAGTTCATATGCGTTTGCGGAAGCCAAACTGTTCTGGGATACCTAAGTGTTGTGACTCTTATAGGCCAAGGGAAAAGTATTAGTAAGCTGAATCTTGAAAATTTTCTATATGCAAATTCGATGACTAGCGTCTATTGTTTTCATATTGAAAAAATATTTAACCAGTTTAATTAACTATAATGTCAAAAGCAATAACTTTTTTTATGTAATGCAAATTGTACAAAGTAAGCACTTTGTTATAAAGGTCCATGTGGCAGACATCTTCATTTGCAAGGTTTCAAGTTGCTCGACTTTTGAAGGCAAAGATGTGAAGACACAAGGCTTGATAAAAGTGTCACAGAAGAATAGAGAGGTTAAATGTCAAAAACAGACAATACTTTAAATGCCTATCCAATGCAATCCTAATTTTCTATCTGCAAAAGATTTGAGATATCTTATCAAATCATGGAATTTACCATGGTCTAGTTGAAAGACCATGAATTTACTGAAACACATTCTGATCAACTTTTTTGTCAAATTACCGTAAGATTGGTGAAATTGAACAAGTTCAATTCAAGACTCCAGATATTTATTTTAAAAATAATTTTGACTTCCGATATTGATGACAAAATTGAGAAAAAAGTGTATCTGTTCTACTCTTACATGTACCAAATTTAAAAGCAAAATATTGAAAAGACCACGTGCAGTATGGCAAGTGATTTTAGACGGTTTTATCTCTCACCATGAGTACTTTCTGGGCATAAATACAGTGGTTTTTATTAAAACAATATGTTATCTTTCAAGTGAAGTACCCATGATGATAAAAATATCAATCAAACAATTCGAAAAATTATGTCAACATTTTTTCAAAATATTTGCTATTCACTCAAAAGAGGATCTCCTTTTTCTGATTTTTATTGCAGGAAAAGATTATTCAACAAGGGGTCTAAAACATCTTCAAAAATATAATGGTATTGAAAGTTTTGAAGATATCAATTTTCGATGACCAAAATGATGCTGAAAACAATGCATAGCACGAGTTTTCTCTATGGGAAAATAACATGGGATATGTGATTTTCAACTTTTGAGTTTTTCAACTTTAAAAGGTCATAGAAGGTCAACCGGAAGTTGGATCTCAATTTCGATTTCAGATTCGGAATCCTGAGAAAATTGAGACTAATTTCAATAGATTTGGAACAATTTGAATTTCACCCTTTTTTTGGAGTCAACTTTCTCAAAATTGGTAAAATTTTCATCGAGACATAGAGTGAGCAAAATGTTTGAAATACTTAGAGGGAACTATAAATTAATTCATCGCAAGAAATATTGATGGATTAAAAAGAAAATTGAAAATTTGTGAAATTGAAAAAATTGACCTAAATTTTGACCTTTGACCTAGATAAAAATTTGACCTAATTTCCAAGAAACTAGGTCACATAGCCTAACTGACCATGTAATTAGATTTACTCCAAGTCTTCTAGTTACTTTTCAATCTGGAGTCTAATAAAATGATCAGAACTGTGAACTGTTAGATTTACCAGAAAATAAGTAACATCCAATATGATGTGAGCAAAAGTAGAATGGCAATTTTTAGAAGGTTTGGTCTCAACATGGGCTCTATCAGAGGTGGTAGAGCCCATGGTCTCAACTCATCCCCAGTCCTACATAATTATGTACAAAGCTGGTAGTTTTTCACAATTTTTATTATACTACATGTATTTGTGACGTAAAAAAGCATATATTGTTGGTATATGTATAATAAGTATTGACATTCAATTGAACTTCTCCACTTTTATTTACAAAACTAAAAAGATATACATTGTGAAATACTAAAACATGTCTTTTATAAAAGTACAAGACAAATCAATACATTCTATATAATCAAGTTAAAACTGATTATTCTTCATTTAAAAATAATTGAAAATTATGAAAATTTTACATTGACCTGCTTAGGTTCACCTAAAAATTTGCAGTTATTATTTAATTGTAGTCTAGACATTGAAATACAGAATGTGAAAAATTCCATTTTCAACTCTTCAATCATTTTTACAAAACTGTAATACATTAACAATTCTTGACATGAAAAATGTAATGGTAAAGTGTCTCTACTACTGATAATTTTTGTGGAAATATCTACATGTGATTTCCAAGAACTAGACACAATGCCGTTCTAGTCAGTTACATAACAAACATAATTTAATGGAAAATTATTGTTGAGCAGTTAGAAGACATCCATTTTTCATGTCTGTCATAAATCTTAAAAATGTATTCTTCTTATAGTTCCTTCTTCCATTACATACATTTATTATCACATTAATTTGGAAAAGGATTGTCAAACTTACAGGCAATTCAGTGAAAAACTATGAAAGAGATATCCATCTTGGTCTAGACTGGTTTGTTTGTGACAGTATTTATCTTTACTTTGATATTTTGAGCAAGTAATAAATAATACAACATCTGTTAAATTATACCATCCTTCTTTTTTTATCACATTGCAGACCCAGAAGTCCCCTCTATTAGTACATTCATTACATTTTTAGTCTTATTAAACAGCCTGAATTATGGACCTGAGGACCGGACCATCATGGTGATAAATAAAGTGTTTAAAGTCCCATATGGAAAGTTTCTTAGTCTTTCTACATAACTCATTCCTGTTTTGTGACTTTATTTGTTGGAGATCTGAACCATTTAACAGCTTGCAGTATTGACATGAGGACTGGAATGCTGATAGGTAGGAACAATGGAATGTAGATTGCAAATCTGAAAGGAAAAACATTATATAGTTTTAATATGATTTACAAGTATTATTTTTTAAATGCACAGAAATAGCAACAAAGATTATAGGACACTTAAATATTAGGGAAAAGTTTGAAAATATTTTGTCAAACTTTGTTCAAAATTGTAAAAATGAGAATTTTGCATCCACTTGAGGAAAAATTCCTTCAGAAAGTACTAATATTGTTTTTTTATTTTCTGATAATCCCATTGAAAGTAAAATATTTGTACAGTACTCAATAGTTGCTTGAGTTTTATAACATAACTGAAACATTTATTTACATCTAAACTACCTGGTGCCTACAGCAGTCTTATACTGTCATGTTTTATTTCAATCAAATTCTAACTAGATGATGGCAACTCCGCGGAGTAGCAAATCCCAACGAACAAAATATCAATTACCGAATTCCAATCAATTATACTCATTACTTTGGTTAAAATTGAAAAATTTAGATTTTAGAATTGCGAATTCCTGCAAAGCAGCCATTTTGAATTTTCTGAGGTACAAATCTGAAAAATAATACCATAATTGTGATCTGTTCCAAAATTCCTTCAATTTGAGTATTATATAGCCATACGTTGAAGGGATCGAAAAATTATTGCGAATTTTACGAGGCTTGAATCAGAAAAAAGATACAATATTTGCAATCTACTCTTAATTGCCTTTCATTTGAATATAATAAAGCTATACTTCAGAAAGATCTAAAAATTAGGGAAAATTTCTGTTTTCCTGACCCCCATACACGGCCCCTGGTGGTCAGGATGAAAAACACTGAATATATGTGAAATAGATAGATGTTGCGAATATACTACCAAAATTTCAAACAATAATATTAATTACTTTGGTTTAGAATGAAAAATTTATGATTTTTGCGAAAAAGTCCCGTCATTTTTAAAGCGGCGGCCATCTTGAAAAAATCCATTTTGAATTTTCTGAGGTACAAATCTGAAAATATTACCATAATTGTGATCTACTCCAAAATTCCTTCAATTTGAGTATTATATAGCCATACTTTGAAGGGATCGAAAAATTATTGCGAAATCGTACATTAGACGGCCATTTTGAATTTTACGAGGCTCGAATCAGAAAAAAGATACAATATTTGCAATCTGCTTTTAATTGCCTTTCATTTGAGTATAATAAAGCTATACTTCAGAAAGATCTAAAAATTAGCGAAAATTTCTGTTTTCCTGACCCCCCATACACGGCCCCTGGGGGTCAGGATGAAAAACTTGGAATATATGTGAAATAGATAGATGTTGCGAATTTACTACCAAAGTTTCAAACAATAATATTAATTACTTTGGTTTAGAATGAAAAATTTATGATTTTTGCGAAAAAGTCCCGTCATTTTTAAAGCGGCGGCCATCTTGAAAAAAGTTTTTTTTGCGTAAAACTATTCATCAAAATACATCTTTCCACCAAATATGAAGAAAATCCGTCAACTAGTATTTGAGTTATCTTCTGGACGGACAGACGGACGGACGGATGGACTGACGGACGGACGGACGAAGGGCTTCACTATATCCCTACCGAACTTCGTTCGTTGGGATAATTACTCATAGATATGTGATGTAATTATTGCATAGGTATTACAGGTGTAATTGCATAGGATAGGACATGATCCCATGTTCTAAATAACCAATTAATGCGCCTATGACTTGAAATTTTCAACTAAATACATGTGTAGGGTTTACTAAGTTTGACCTGCAACAATGACACTGTACTGGGGCATACATCACATCAAAGGTACATAAACTCAATTATATGTAAAGCTTACTTTTGATCTTCTGGGAAATACAGCAGCTCCAGTAAAGACTGGTCAAAGAATGCTTTTTCTGAAAAACAATATATTCAACACATAGAAAGAGAACATTCATAATTGAAAGAACATGTCTGCACCCTGATCCTTGTCCTATTTCAATGGATTTATATTTTACGTTGTTGTGCATTCAGGAATTTGATGTAAGAACTTGTGAGTGTACAGCGACCAAACAAAATGTTTACACTTTAATTAATAGAAAATGAGAAAATCAAACATACATGGAGAATTCCTTTAAATATTGAAGAGTGAAATGGCTAGAATATCGTCAGACCTTTCAATTTTATTGTTTAATTTCATTTTAGGTTCATACTTTTTTCATTTCCCCTACAAGTTGAATGAGGCGAATTTGGAGAACTTTTGATTTTCTGTCTAAAGGCTACACACCCTGCTGTTTTCTCCTTGCTAATTCCACTCTTTTCCATTCTGTTTTGTATTTAAAAACATGAACATCATTACATTCTTCTCTGAGTATTTTACCTGATGCAATTAGAGCTTCTTTGGAGTATGTAAAGGCATCCCTGAGATTTCCCCTGATTAGGTTTTTATGACTTTTAAGTATACAGGTAACAGCTTTCTCCACCTAAATAGAAGAGTAAAATTCAACTTTTAGTAAAACAAATGAGAACTTGTAATTTTTGCGAGTTTTATTTTTTAAGATGTTACTGCTTGCGCTTACTAATTAAACAAAATTCTGAACCTAAATATGAAAGAAAATTTTTTGATTGGACAAAAAGGAACTCCTTTTAATATTACAGGTTTATATGGCTTTAGATCAGAGTTTTATGTGTCAACTGTGGATCTTTTACAAATACATATCTGGGACATTCTGGGTACTTAAAAATTAATTATTTGATTTCTGAAAACTTAGAGGGAGGGCAGCAGTCAGGGAACATCAAAGATATATTCAACATTAAATGGCCTAATACATACCTCCATTCCTATATCATCATTTATAACAATGTTGGGTATCTGTTCTAGGAGTTGAGCAAGGGACTTTAATGTTGTGGATGACATGGCAACATTCTCCAATGTCTTTGTTCGCAGCCATGTGTCTAACTCCTGCAAATATATTTTCAACTCAATTCTTAATAAAACAGATTTTCAAACTATTGAACACACATCATTATCTCCAGTGTTTGTAATTTACATTCTGTCAACAAGTTTTAGAAAAATAGCAAGTTTCAACCAGAAATCAAAAAGAAAATGTCACCCTACTATGTATATCTCTTGCATTTAAGCAATATTATAAATAGGCCTTAAAACACACTTCTTGTAGACTCTTTGGTCAAAAGTGTGATGCAGTCAGATGGGTATCTTGCCCGTAGCCAGCTTTTACCAGGAGGGGGAGCTTTTTCCAGGGGGGGAGCTTTTTCACAATTTTGGCTAAAAATCATGCAAAAAATTCTCTGAATGGTGAAAAACTGCATGATTTTGAAAGAATTTCTGGCCAGGGGGGAGCTTCCGCTCCCCCAGCTCCCCCTCTGGCTACGGGCCTGGGTATATTGATCAACATGCTAAGATCTATCAACAGTTTACAATCGTTAATCCTTAGATGACTCAACAGAATTGAAGAGTACAATGAAGTATAATACACAATGTGCATGTGTCTCAGCATGGGTAAATTATGAAACAGTGCATTAGGCCTCAATATGAAATCTGGTCAGAAAGTGTAGTTCTAGTAAGAAGTACCATGGCAATGCAAAGATTCCCTATACATAAAGATAATCATTGGTAACAAAATAAAACAAACAAGAGACTGTAACCAGCGAGTTCCTTGATATGACCTCACCATTTTAAATAAATATATTATGACATCATAAATAGGCATCCTATTTCTATTGTGATGTAATAGAACCATAAATTGAATCGTTTCTAGGGACTTTGAAAATAGCAACCAAATTCACTTGTGATGTCACAAATGGACTGTTGATAAGGCCATTGTTTCATAGCAACATTGAGTGGTTTATATAGTGATGTCACATAACAATATGCATCTTAACTGGAGATAAAGATTTTGTTTCTAAGGAAATGTAAACAAAAGGATAACAGAGAAGAGAGAAAATAGATTGACCAGCACATCACTGATATTCTGCAGAAAATAAGATAGTCTATTCAAAATACAAATAACAACTAATCATAACGATGGCGCCAGCTATGAACAAAAGTAACAAGATCAGGAATACAATGAGTAAAATCTGCTGCTGGAAACCGTTAGAGACTCAAATGTTATGGAAGCGTAGCAATAGAATTTTGCCATACATTGAATCAGAAACAGAAAAAGAAATTGAAGACAGTGATGCAGTCCTTGACTTAGATGCCATTGAGATAAAATATGAATGGCCTGAAATTGACTTCAACAAATTTGGGGAAAATGGTATATATACCAAATCTTACTGTGATATGGAATACATACTAAGAATGTCACCAGTATATGACCCAAAGTTTTCCATGCCTCAAAAGGACACACGCAACATTCTACAGAGAGCGCTGCATCGAGTGAACAAAAGGGTAGGTATTCAATTGACATACTTAGACACTGTATATTTATGCAATACTTTGATGGACTTGTGGAATGAATTTTTCCAGTTTCATCATGGTTTGGGATGCTGAGTTTTTTCCTTATGAAACGTTGGACTCAATGAAATTAATGGTCCTTTTTATCTGTATTATTAATGTTTTTTAATCTTAACCCTATTCAACATAATTGACTGAAATAAAATCACGCATTAAAATGTGCTGAATTCTATTTCCAGGCACGAGAGGCCAAATATGCCATTTCCACTGCTATGAGCCATGGGACAAAATCATCAAAGAAAGATGGTTGCCAAGCGCAAAATGACACCTCGACATTCAGTTCTATCTAAGACATTGTACTAGCAAGTTGTATAAGCCATACTATGACTGGACTGGCCCAGCATTCGCCTTGATGCAAGACCCGATCTGGATGAAGCCCTGTACCATTTTGGGCATATAATGAATAAGCCAAAAAGGATGCTTATGAGTAGATGGCAATGGCCAATTGCAATATGTTCTAATGTATCTATAAGAAGACATTATTTGTGTATAGGTTATCAATTATGTATAGGTAATGTAATGTATATAGTGTAAATAAATTGTAAATATGTTCTTAAGTATGAGTAACATTGTATATAGTTAAAGAGGAGAAAAAGCATATAGGTAAACAATCTCAATATAAAATAAAAGGTCATGGCCCCTCCTGTCCTCACACAGTAGAACTGTTACTAAAACATGATGTGTTTAAAACCATCAAAGTCCAGCCAGCCTTTTAGCAAATTCCAAGTGAAAATATCAAAAGCTGTAGTTCATGAAGCTTTGGATTTTTTATATTAATACATTATTCTTACCTATAGCAACTTACAAGCATCATGAGGTAGCTCAATAGAGCACATTTTTGACATATTAACAAAATAAAAAATAAAAAACTCCTTAAAAATGGCTGTTCTAATTTTTGGGGTAATAATAGAGTAAACACCAAAAACTGTAAAACTTTCAGAGAGCATATGTTGGAAATGGATACTATGGATAGTGAAATAAAAATAGAAATGCACAAAATTGAAGTACAGTAGAACCTGTGTAAATGGAACACCCTCCGTTCTGCCAAAAAGCGTTCAACTTAGGAGGTGTTCCACTTCCGGAGGTTTTGGGTTCACAGGGATATAAATAACCTACAAGATCAAATTTAGGGTTAAAATGATGTATCATTGCTAATTATCAAATTAATTAGTGGTAGCATCACACATTGATCTCTACAGGAGGTTAATCCAGTTTGCTATATGGTAATCTGTTAAAATCCTAATTTGCCAATTATCACGTTATTACCTGTTTTCATACCAAGATATCACTGTAGGAGGTTAATTCTGTTTACATAAGTATCAATATTGAAATTTATGGAAAATTGACTGTTCCACTTCGCAGGTTACTTTATTAATATGGGTGTTCACTGTTCAAGTTTGGAGGTGCTCCACTTACAGAGGTTCAATTAACAATCATGAGTTTTTAAACGGGACTTTGAAAAAGCGTTCCACTTGCGAGGCATTCCACTTAGAGAGGTGTTCCACTTAGCAGGTTCTACTGTAATTTTACTTGGATTGAGAGCAGAATTTTTCATAATGATTCGTTAATCAAGTGACATCACAAAACAAACAATAAATGATTCACTGCTGGGTGTCTATTTACTATTTTCACCAAAAGAAAATAAACTTATCAACTTACCCAAAGTGTCACAACTTGATTGTCAGCTTTTGCAAACTTTATATTCTCTTTTTCAACCTGAAAAAATAACATGTTGTATACTGATTCAGCGTAGAACATTTGAATAATGACCCAATGCCTTCACTTCTATCAGGTACATTTGGCATCATAAGGTAAAGGAATCCCTCACTCAAGATGGGTCTATTGCAATCAAGATAATCTATATATGTAGTCGATACACGGTGGAGCTCAAAAAATATGAGTGTTTGTATCAGGGATGCCAATATACCCTTAGAGACAATATGGAATTATTTGCAAAATTATAGTCTATTTATTTACATATAGACAGGGTAATTCAAAAATTTATGTCATTGTTTATACTTTGGTTTATTATTAGTATACACTTTTCTGACAATAGGATCAGTATATGCATAACTTACTACTGTAGGTATACCAAGTATAAGCCTCAATTGAGCGAGGAACACCTGCATAACAGGCTTCATGTCAACCTCAACTGCAGCAGGAAGTGAGACATTCTGTGGGGTCTCCACATTGTAAATCAGGATGCCTCCCCATTGTGGACTAAGAAATGCATTTGTTTTTGAAGTTTCACCTAAAATATAAATTATGACTCTGAAACACATCACTGATAAAACTAAATGACTAAATTTTAAGCACGCTGTAAAACCATGTTTACATTTTCCTTATGCGTCGATAGATAGATAGATTTCTATCTATTTGTAATTCTTTACATTCTTTACTCCTAAACAGCACTTACATAGATTCTTTTCATTAATCTCTTTTTGTTCCTTCAAAAAATTCCGAAAATGAATAATTGAACGCCTGTTCTGTCAAGTGACTAATATCCCCAGTCTCTATTTCTATCAACTCTTCTTGCTTTGAACTGAAGTTTTGGATTGAAAGTGAGGAATTTCTTACCTGAGTTATGCTGAATGGTCAGGGGGCTTTGGTCTCTGGATGGTATGTAAACTATGAAGTTCAGATTTGGATAGTTTGATATATGTGAACCTGGAAAGTAAAAGTTACATAGGTATATTGAATATTTTAATGATACAGAAACTATTTAAAACACAAGCTACAAGATATCAACTCTTAAGTGGCAATTTAATATTTTACTTCAATGTCCATTCTGTCATTTTAAAATATCATAGTTAATCCCTAATAATTACATATGAAATAGCATATAACAGGTAGGTAAAAATAATGTGAAAAACATGAACAATCTAATTCATTCTAAGACTTTCATATGCTTTACATTTTACTTCTGCTATATATTGTACTTCCAGAGGCACAGAGCAATTACATATCAGAGCATATAGGGCATCATTACAAATTACAATACCATACAACATTTTAAACCTAATTCTTCCAACCACTCAGCTACTTACTAAGCTGACTTTCAATTGGGTTTATGAGATGAGGTAGATCTGCCTCTGTTAGGTATGACCCTTTGTCAGCTTTCTTAGTCTTAACTGAGAGGCCAGTGTAGTGCAAGATTTGAGATTTCACATTCATCTTAGCAAAGTCTGCAAACTGTTCAGTTAGTGGATCAAGGTATTCTGAAATGCAAAAGGATAATTTCAAATAAAAAAATGCAATCATGAGGCTTTAGAAGTCAGTGGGATCTTAAAGGTGCACTATACTTAATTTAGAAGAAAAAATTAAAAATTCATTGAAACATGTTACTCACACACTTGCTCGAATATGACACAAAGTTTGATTTGCTTTAATATTGAACCAAGAAAAAAATAACTCACATAGAAAAAAGCATTAGAAGCTCAGAGATCATTAGACATGCATGCACATATTTTAGCAAAGTGCATGTTTTAAATTACTACTGATTTAAAAGATGTTGAAACTTCTATAAAAAGGAATGTATCATGTAATACAAACAACTATGTCACCTTTCAATGACATTGATAAAAACTTGATATATAAAGCTTGACAGATCAAAAAAAATTTTGATAATTGATTGTGAGCTTTGATGTGGTCCACTTGAGCTGATGTTGGCGTCAAATGAAAGATAAGGCTCTTATCAATACATTGGACATACTATGAAATTTAAATGTAAGCCTTTATTTTGCCTAAAAAATGTTGAAAATTCCCAAAGTGGGCCTTTAAAAAAGCTAACATTTAAAATATATTCCAAATGGACTTGCAATTTTGCATCCATTTGAAAATGAAAATAAATTATGGAAAATTAGCAGGTTTTGGCCATTGTCGGTTAGAATTATGAGGATATGAATCAGCTCAACACTGGTGAAGCTTTGATGTCTGAAAACTAAACATAATGTTTTTGAATGAAATAAAATCATGTCATTTTTTCTTCATAACTCTCCTTTCTCATAGGTTAGTTCATTTTCTATTCAAATGTTTTTGGATATGTTTTAACTTTAAGAATTCGCAATATAATTATCCAGAGTTGAGACCCTTTTCCCGCACTCTACTGCAGTGGCCAATTGATTATTGCCTTGGGGAGTATCACTGTATTAAATCATGTTTCATACCTCCAACAGCAGCAGCTATGGGCCAGGCAACAGCTAGCATGTCAGGCTGTGGGTTGAGCAATGAGAATGTAAGCTCATATTCTGGGGTGGTATGAACAGCACGCATACTCTCCTTTGTCGCCTGAAGAAAAAAGGCTCATAACGTATAATGATAAACCAGGCCGAGAGCTTGAGCTACCTCAATGAATTCATCGGGTATTGATTGTACTTGAATTTTTTTCAATTGAAGTTGCCATTGATTAAAAGCAACTCGCAATTAATGCAATGTACAGAAGACATGTACAGGTTAATGAACATGGCAATCCTTTAAGGGAAATACCAGAGAGGGAATAAAGATGTGATCTAACTTTTCATTTTCATATTTTGAACTGGCCCCTAAAAATCTGAATAAGTTGTTTACCTTCTGTCTAGCCCCCCTTGCAGCTATTAGGGACTTGTTCAAAGTCTCTCTTCACTCACATACACTTCCTTTATGATCCTAGTAAAATCATCTAACACTGACAACAAGCCTGGAAAAAGTGGAGAATTACGAGAGTACAAGGACAGATGATATTGTAAGATAAAATGAATGATTCTACTGTACTGAACTGTACTATACTGTACTGTACTATGCTGAACTGTACTGTACTTACAAATCGTGTGCTAGTTTGGATTAAAACCATGTCATAAACTTCTGTTCATGCAAATTGAGAGAATGCAGTGTGATACAAGGACTTACCATTTTCACCTGTCAGAAAAGTTGTTCTTTGTTTGCCCACATGTATATTGGAAGATGCCAGGGGAGAAGTTGATGGGAGGATGACAATACAGTATTTGCCATTTTCTTTCAGAAGCTTAACTTTGTATAGGGCAGCATCTAATTCTACAAACATCAAATTATGTGACAAATTATTAAAATCGTGTGATTATTTATCATTTAATGAACATCATTTAATGTTTTGGTGCTCGAACAATCAGAAAAGCAAGGATGGCAACAGACATAGTACAGTTGTATGAATGATCATATCTTAAAGTTTACATCAAAAGTTATCAAGTGCCATAAAGTTTAACACATAATGACACAAGAACCATGGATTCTTCCTAAACTTTTAGCATGTTTACCTTCTAATGTTTTTGCAGCCTCGTAAACTTGTCTCTCCTCATCATATGCTTTCCGAATATTTCCTTTGTACACAATACTAAAGTTTTCAAATTCTGTCCCTGAAACATCATTAAAATGGTAGGCTTTAAAATGTAAGCTTTAATATGTTACTGGAATTACATAATTCTTATTGTTTATATTTGGAGTTATTGCTGTAATTAATATTTACCATTGTTTAAGGAATTCTTGAGATCTTCCCCAAACCTTGCCAGGTCTATTTTACTGAGATTCTCCTCATAGATCACCACAGTGACATCTATAGTAGTACTCAACTGGAAATAGATACGAAAAAACTTGAGGTGCGAACATTTCACAGATTGGGACAATTACCTAAAAATTATTGTCAAATGTAGTTCAAATGCAATTCAAATGTCTGCCACAAAAAACCTTATGATTCATTAGATAATTCAATGCAAGGAATTGTCTTTTTCTCTGGATTACAATCCATATGGAATCTAAAAATTGATTTAAAAATTTAAGTATGCATTTGACATTTTTCCACACGTTTAAAAGGACATTGTGCTTAAAGAATTGCTCACATTAGTAGGTGAATAAAACAGGTGGAAAGGATACTCAATACATGTACATGTACACTATTTACTAACCTTGCTCATTGCTAGCTCATCTATTACATGATATGGTAGCTGTACTCTATAGACTTCTGTTGTTTTCCACCACAGTGGCAAACCCACGATGATACACACAAAGCCAACACCCAGTGCCGCATAGGCCTGCATGGCCTTCTCTGAAACTATATACAACAAAAAGATGAACAAAGATTTGAAAAGCTACTTTAATGACCCACAATAGCAAGTCGCTACTACATTACAGTCTCTTATGGCTGAATCAGTTAAGCATCAATCTTGCGAGCAAAAGGTCTTAGGTTTGATTCCCATACTGGACATTGAATATACCACCCTCCCTTTCAGGTCTAGTATCTGGCTCATTACAGCTCCCTGGAAGAGTGCCCATGGGTCGTTTCACTAATTCGAGGATTTCCATTAAAACTACCATGTTTGATTAGGCGAAATATAAATTACATGTAGAACCAAAATAAAACTATAATCGGTGATTAGTCAAAAGAGCCCTGATAACTTCAGGAGTGAAGATGACCAATCAGTGATATGCACATTGTAAGGAACATTTTGGAATAGAATGTTTGTGGTGAATTTTGGCATGGTCATGGTTAGTTCAACAAGTTAAACCCAATACCACGGCTTTCATTTATTAATCTGAATGTTCTTGTTGCCGTGATTGGGTTTAACTTCCGTGGTATGCTTTCATTTGTTGCAAATTCTCACTATCAGTTATTAATTAAACGCGCATGAAATTACTTATTAATTGACAACAATATAAAAACACATAACATCAAGCGATTCAACACAATATTATTGTATTAAATGGTCATTTATACAAGTAAAATGAGGTTAAACTTACCAATCTCTAAAATGACATTCCGCATGTCCGTCATTGTGTCTGTTCGTCCCGGGTTAAAATTTAAACTATTGAAACGAAATTGTTGTCAAATAGATTGATAATTATCACGCGATTACTCGGGATATAAAGATCAATTTTGAGGATAACAGGTATCTTTGATTGATTTATGTAGCGCTTGTATACACGCAAATTAGTTATTAATTGCAAACCTACTGTTCGTTGATGCAGTGTCGCAATGACGGTCAATTCCTGAAACGATTTGCAATTTCGATGTTACCGGAGCTGACCGACATTTTCGTAAAATTCCAAACCTGTCTCCAATATTTTCGTAATTATGCATCAATAGGGTCTAAGGGGGATACGGGATGGTGTGTATGTATTCATAAGGTATGTATGCATGCTTGAATCACATTCTTTATGTAATATTACCATGTTTTCAGTGTTAATTAGTTCCGCTGGTCGAAACCTGCGGAACGCGCAACAAGGGCAAAATGATCATGGAGGTTAGACCTAGCCGGGGCCATAAGACATGTCAGATAAGAAACGAGGCCCAGGCTAGGTCTAATGTTGTTGGACTAGGTCATGGTCAGATCTTGGAGAAAATCGAGTTTTGATTTCATCTACTTGAGTCTATACTGCGAGTGAGGACGCCAAATAAACTTAGTCATATAAATCCGACCGTTGTATGCTGTTCTTCGATATTCCTTGTTCTTATTTGGATATTTATTTTTTATCATTTTCTTTGCATACACGGTCGTAGATATTATATGGAACAAATTGCGGTAAACGCTTTTCTGGCCTGTCTTGGTAAATATAGTTACCATACTAACCAAAGTCACACAAATTATCACGTAATTATTTAGCTCCAATATCAAAGTGTTAAATCTTACCTTAGACATGTAAAACGCTTGATAATTGACGAAATATAATCAATTGAATTATCTTTTCATTATCGCCCGCCATGTTGCTGAATGTTAGTAGTTAGTAGTCTAAATGTATAACATGTATCGAAACGGAATCATAATTATTTATTACACAGAGATCGATTCCAAAGTTTTGGTTTCAAAAGATGTACATGTCAACTTTACTAAATAAATGCCCACTGGCTTGGGAAAGCTATTTTTCCTTTTATGAACGCTCATCACCCATTGAAAAAATGTTGTTCCCTCTCAAAAAGGCCCATGGGCCATAAAGAAAATTGGTTTAAAAATTGTAGACCCCTATCTATGTATGTTGTGTAAACGCCATTTTACAATGAGAATAACATAATTTAACTTTGTTTGTTTGAACATCTATATCACCTGTATATGAACTTTCATAGGCTAAACATTTAAACAATTAACGTCTTGACTTCGCATATTTAGCCTAATTTTGCAATGATGTCAACGTTATTCCAATGTTATGTTGTGATTCGCAGAGGTTGCGACAACGAGATTCGTTTAAAAAAATTGTATTTTTCAAATAAGATCCCCTAATTTTCGGACAACTGGGTTTCGGAGAACTGGGTTTCGGACAACTGGATTTCGGAAAACTGGGTTTCGGAGAACTGGGTTTCGGACAACTGGGTTGACCCCGTTGAAGCAAAGAAATTAATTTATCATTTGTGTGAATTTGGTTGGGTAGACATGCCAGGAAAGCAATTCCCGCAATATACAAGCGCTAGTGTTTATGACCCTCGTATGCAAGAAAATAAGAAAAATAAATATCCAAATCAGAAAAAAATAACAACAAATAACATCATACGAGGGTCAGATTTATACGACTAAATAAACTGTAAAGACCAAAAAGGACTTGATACAACTTCCTGTGATGTCCTTGTTCTGGCGATGAACCGATACCATTGGTTGTTTTATTTAAATTCCTAAGCTAGATCTAGTCTAGTCTAGAATATACAGTTCTACCTCACTGTATTACGTAACAAAGAGACTATATGAGAGAGCGGTCAGCTGTTGGTTAATCACTTGTGGTTAAGCTTGTTAGTTACACAGAGCTAATAGCATGGCTACTCCAATGGATAATTCAGACTATGAAGACAAATTGTTAGATGATGAAACCTCAGAAGAAAGTGAAGTAGTTACCATGGGGACTTTAAAAAAGTTTTTCCAGTCATTCAAGGAAGACATTGTTCTGTCTTTCGATAATAAGAGAAAACAAGATGTTGTGGATATAGAAGACTCTACGTCTAATAAGAAACAAAAAATGGACTGTTCGACAGTTTCAGAAAAAGATGAATCGGGAAATGAAGAAGAGGACGTAAACGACGATAAGGAAGATGATTCGTATTTCGCGGCTCTGGAACGACAATTCGGAGATGAAGAGCCAACTGGTTCCAAGATTAAGGAACAATGGGCTAACTTTGTAGACAACAGGTTCTCAAAGCCCCTATCACATGATGTGGTGAAGGAAAAGGCAGCCACCCTCTTAAGGCCTGAAAACGTTAATAAAATAGTACCTCTAAAAATCAATCCTGAAGTTAAAAGGAAGGTCCCTAGATCTAAGGCTGGGGAAGATGTGAGGCTCGCTAATATGCAGTCTAATATTGGCAAGGTGGCAGTTGGAATCATCCAACTACTCAACAACAAAGGGAGTTCCTCCCAAAATGAAATAGGTTCAAACCTTATTGCCCTCCTGGGGCATGTTTTCAGCTCACTGAATAATACCAGGAAAGAGGCATTGCGACCATACATGGCCCAGATGTACAAGCCTCTTTGTACCTCTACTAATCCTGTAGGGGAAAATATGCTGTTTGGGGATGATCTCCCTAAGGCACTGCGAGACTGCAGAGATGCCGACCGTCTCGGTCGTAACTTTGAGGCTAAGAACTATTCAAAAAACTGGAAGACCCAGGGTCGGGGCAGTCACAGCTCGGGACAACATGCCTGGGGGAAAAAGAAGTGGCTGCCAAGGGAGGAATACCTCAAAAAGCAGAAAGAGTCCAGCAAGAAGTACAACAAAGACTAAAGGTGAGCTCTACTTTTTTAGATAATAACTGTCCAGAAATTTCAAACAATGAATCATCATTGTCAGCATTGGTTCATGAGAGTAACACAAGTGTAAACTCTTTTCATGCGGGTCAAATTAAAAATCATTTGCATGAATGGCAGAAATTGACATCTGATCCAGATATTATCAACTTGGTAACCGGGGCAAAAGTAGACGTTACTGAAATTCCTGTTCAATCAAAGGCTCCAAACCAACTTTGTTTTTCAAAATCAGAAAATCAGGCCTTAACATCAGAAATAACAACACTTTTGGAAAAAGGTGTGATAAAACCAAGTGTACATGAACCTGGAGAATTCATTTCAACAATCTTCCCAAGGGTAAAGAAAAATGGGTCAATAAGGTTGATTCTTAATCTGAAAAAATTGAATAAGAATATTGAATACAATAAATTCAAAATGGATACTTTACAAACAGCAATTAGCCTTATGAGGAAGGATTGTTACATGGCCTCCTTAGACCTCAAAGATGCTTACTATAGTGTAGGTATTCATGTTCCTGATAGAAAGCTTCTGAAATTCACGTGGAATGGTCAACTTTTTGAATTCACTTGCTTTGCAAATGGGTTAGCTTTTTGTCCTAGGAAATTCACAAAGCTCTTGAAACCAGTGTTCTCTCATTTACATTTACAAGGTCTTGTATCTATGTATTATATGGATGACAGTTATCTACAAGGAGATACATATGCAGAATGTCTTAATAATGTGGTTTGCTCACACAGGTTGTTGACAGATCTAGGTTTTGTAGTACACCCAGAGAAATCATTTTTTGTTCCAACCCAGACAGTCAATTTCTTGGGCCATATTCTTAATTCAGTAACTATGACAGTCTCATTAACTGATGAGAAATCTCTCAAGATTAAAGCGGCCTGCTACAACCTATTGCATAAGACTAATCCCTCTATCAGAGAAGTTGCAAGGGTTATTGGCTTAATGGTGTCATCATTCAGTGCAGTCACATATGGGCCTCTTCACTTTCGGCAACTTGAATTAGATAAAAGTAAAGCCGTGAAACATCACAAAGGCAATTATGAAGCTATCATGTCATTATCTAATGGTGCTAAGGAGGAGCTTAACTGGTGGACAATGAATGTTTGTAAATCCAGTAAACCAATCAGTCATGGTGACCCAGACATGACCCTCTTCACTGATGCATCAGGGAGGGGGTGGGGGTGTGCATGGAATGGCAATAAAGAGGGTGGCCCCTGGTTTACAGGAGACTAACTACAGTTGGGGACATAAATAAATGACAGGTGGATTTGCTGAAGTGAGGATTTCCCATGTTAAAAATAAGAGAATTTACAAGAGGCCATAA